GATGTGGCTCAGTGATTAAGAGCCTCTGAGTTCAATCCCTGGTACAAAAAAAAAAAAAAAATCACACAAGAAAAAAATCAAACAGCACAAGAGTGCATGGTGAGAAGTAATTTTCCCTCTCACTGTAGATTCTAGTTTTCCTCCTCCCAGGTGACCACTCTTTCAACTTCCTGGTCACCTTTCAGAGACATCCTTCACTATAAAAATGTGGATGTTTTCTACATATGTTACTTAAACAGGTAGCTCATCTCTGTGATGGCCCTCACTTTTATCTGTCTCATTTAAAAAATGTATTTTTTTTTTAGTATTAAATAATACCTTTATTTATTTATGGGGATTGAACTCAGGGGCACTCGATCACTGAGCCACATCCTGAGCCCTTTTTTGTATTTATTTAGAGACAGGGTCTCAACTGAGTTGCTTAGCACCTCACTGTTACTGAGGCTGGCTTTGAGCTCATGATCCTCCTGTCTCAGCCTCCTGAGCCGCTGGGATTACAGGCCTGCGCCACCTCGCTGGTTTATCTGTCTCATTTTTCTCAGCCCTTGAGATTCCAAGTGTGGTCCACAGACTGGAAGTGGGAGCATGATCTGGGAGCTTGTTAGAAATGCAAAGTCCTGGGCAGCCCAAACCCACTGGATCAAAACTGCATTTTGACGAGACTCCCAGGTGATTCAACTTTGAATTTAAATTTGAAAAGATGGTTCTAATGTCCCCCCAACCCTAGGGCTAACCCTGGACAACACTGGGGTCTCATTCTGTTTTCATTTCCCCTTGCCCAGGCAGGTGCTTGGCCTACCTGGGTTGGAGTTCTTAGTTAGACTCAGCTGCCCAGGAAGTGGACCAGAGCTGGAGACCAGAGCTGGGAGGGGGCTGGGCTGTGGTCTTAGAACCTTCTTCTACCTCCTCAGTTTGACCAATGAGGTGGTTCACACGTGTCCCACCATTGGCAGCAATGTGGAGGAGATTGTTCTTCGGAAGACCCACTTCCTCATGTGGGACATCGGGGGACAGGAGGCGCTGCGTTCCACCTGGAGCACATACTACTCCAACACGGAGGTGAGGAGGTCGCCAGGGCTGGGGGATCTCCAAGACAACTGTGTGATGTTAGCCAGTGCCCCTCTCTTAACCTAGGTTCCCCCTCTGTGAAGTGACCTAATAATGACCTCTCTGAGTCACAGTGAAATTAAATAACACTCAGACAAGAGGGAAGGCATATAGGCCAAACACTTAACCCAGTGCAGTGCCTGTAAAGATTTTTTTTTTTTTTTAATCCTGCCTGTCTGCTTCTGGCAGTTTCCAGTCTGATGTACTGGATAGCATGAGCCCTTAGTCTCTGAAGGCCTTGTCTTCTCACTTGGCAGAAGTAGAACAAGAGACAGAGCTGCCACTCATCAGCTGTGTGGCCAAGGGCAAGATTCCTAACCTCACTGAGGTTACCCTCCTTTGTAAAATGGAGGTAATAACAGCACCAAGCCTACAGCATTGGGGTGAGGCCTAAATGGAGTCCTGAGCACCCAGGGCTTAGCACGGCCTCTGGTACACAATCAGGTTTGCTCTGGATTTCCTCTGTCTGGATAGAAAAGCCAATTAAAATGGGACCAGGTTGTGAGATTGTGAGGCAGCTCGGTTCCTTTTCTATGGAGCTGGCATGTGGGCAGTTCAGAAGCCAGTGGGCAGGAAATACTTTTACAAAGAGGAAGCCAGGTCCTTAAGCCTCCCCTCTGCTGGCCAGTTCGTCATCCTTGTGATTGACAGCACAGACCGGGATCGGCTGCCCACCACTCGGGAGGAGCTGTACAAGATGCTGGCCCATGAGGTAAGCTTCCTGGGGTTCTAGCTGTGTGTCCTCAGGCTAGTCATTCAGCTTCTCTGAGGTCCATTACCTGACATCCTCGTCATTATCCCAGCAGTATGGGGAGGGCTAGTTTATTGAAGATGAAGGATGACAGTGCCCTCAGAACAACTGGTCACAGGAGTCAGAGTTGCTGGTTCAAGGTCTGTCCCCTCTTCTTGCTCATGGATTCCTACCTCCTGAGGTTGTTGTAAGGATTATAGGAGCTGGTTGCAGGCATCCCATGACTTGTCGCTGTCATCAGATGTGGTTGCTACTGTTGGAGTGGGGCCCACCTGGGAGGCTGGGGAGGAGTGGAGAGGACCAGCAGGAGGAGAAGGAGGCTTCTGGCTGACAGGGCTGTGGCTCTTCTTCCCCAGGCACTTCGAGATGCTTCAGTGCTGATCTTTGCCAACAAGCAGGATGTGAAGGACTCCATGACCACCGTGGAGATCTCCCAGTTCCTCACTCTCAGCGCCATCAGAGACCATCCGTGGCATATACAAGGCTGCTGTGCCCTGACTGGGGAAGGGTTAGTGGCTGCCAGACCTGGGTCTGGCCCACCAATGGACAAGTGGTCACCAGAACCCCTCTCTTGTCTTGGTCCTATCAGATTCTGGCTCACAGTTGGTGACTGTGCCAAATCAGATGGAAAGGGGTTGAATTGTTGAAACTGGGTGAGGGGGTAAGCTGTGCATCCCCACTCTCCAGCGCCTTCTAATGGAGAGGTAACCCTCACATAAACACAAGGGCCAGGTGGGTCTGATTTAGGTCTGGTGGTCAGGGATGGCCTCTCCTAGAGATGTGGTTTTTGAGCTGAGACCCAAATGAAAAGAAAGGGACAGTCATGGCAAGACCTAGGGTCCAAAGACCTAGGGGATGGAAGTACCAGGGATTGAACCCAGGGATGCTTAACCACTGAGCCACATCCCCAGCCATTTTTTCTATTTTATTTAGAGACAGGGTCTTGCTAAGTTGCTTAAGGCCTCACTAAGTTGTTGAGGATGGATTTGAATTTTCAATCCTTCTGCCTCAGCCTCCCAAGCGACTGGGATTACAGGCGTGTGCCACCATCTTTGAATTTCTGCAAAGAGTCCATGACACCATTCCATCAACAGATTTGTATCAAATACCTACTTTGTGCCAGTAGTGTTTTGGGTATTGGAGAAATAGCAGAAAACAAAACAGAAACTCCTACCTTCATGGAGCTGCATTCCAGTGGGGGAGACAGACAATAAGCAAAAAAATATGGTTAGTAAGTTAAAAAATGATAAATGTTGTTGAGCACGGTGGCTCACGCCTGTAATCCCAGTGGCTCAGTAGGCTTAGACAGAGGGATCAATGGCGAGTTCAAAGTCAGCCTCAGCAAAGGGGAGGTGCTAAGCAACTCAATGAGACCCTGTCTCTAAATAGAATACAATATAGGGCTAGGGGCAGCTAGGATTGTGGGGGCAGCTAGGATTGTGGCTCAGTGGTAGAGCGGTTGCATGTGTGAGGCACTGGGTTCAATTCTCAGTATTGCACATAAACAAAGAAGGTAAAGGTTCTAAAAGAAAAAAATTTAAAAAGAAATAGGGTTGGGGATATGGCTCAGTTTGATTTGAGTGCCTCTGGGTTCAATCCCAGGTACCAAAAAGATAACCGTTATGTTGGGGAGGGAAAGGGAGATTGGTAGGAATGTTGCAATCTTGGGGGGTGGGGAGGGTACAGGGGTACTTAACTACTGAGTCACATCCCTAGTCCTTTTTATTTTTTATTTGGGTCTCACAAAATTGCTGAGGCTGGTTTTGAATTTATAATCCTCCTACTTCAGTCTCCTAAATTGCTGGGATTACAACTGTGTGCCAGCTCACCCAGCCACAATTTTAATTTTTGAGATGGGGTTCTCATTTTGTTGTGGAGGCTAGCTTTGAGCTCCCGGGTTCAAGCAGTCCTCCTGCCTCAGCCTCCCAAAAATCTGGGGACTATAGGCAAGTGTTACCATGTGTCCCCAGTTGAATGTTGCAGTTTTAGATGAGGTATTCAGGGAGGGGCTGCTGAGAAGGTTGCTCTTGAGCACACACCTGCATTGTGGACTGGGCCACCTAGGGAGGGCTCTACCTTGGGCCTATAGAATTTCCTTTTCTTTCACCTCTCAAGTGGAATGGTAGCAGGCTGGAGACCCAGATGTCTTTTTTTGTTGTTTATTTTATTCTGTGGTGCTGGGAGTTGAACCCAGGGCCTTGGACATGCTGGGTGAGCACTCTACACTGAACTACTCCCAACCTCATAGATATCTTTTTGAAAAAGAGTAGAGTACAGGCAAGCCAATGCAAGGGCATTTCTGGGAGTGTACCTGTCTCTGCTGGATCAGGAGGACCCTCCTCTCCCCCTAGCTCACAGTCAGTTTAATGCAACTAGCATTTCCTAAGTACCCACCATGTCATGCTCTGTGCCAGGTGAGGACTGGGGATGATACAGAGATGGCCAAGGCTCCACCCTTGCTCTGGAGTTGCTTAGTATCACACAGGAAAACTTGCATATGGAGCTTCTTCCTAGGCCTTTGAAGTCACCCTGCCACTTTCCCTAGTGACAGAGCAGGTGGGAGGGGACATGAGAGTCTTACCTGAGTTACTACTAAGGCATCCAGGAAGTTAGATCTCTAGGATGGTTTCTCCAAGAAGCCCTCCCTGACTCCCAGAACCTTCTGTATATCTTCTTAACCTTAGTCTCAGTATGTAGCTATAGGATTATTTGCTGGACCATTTGCTTAGTCTCTATATCCTCTTCTATGCTATAAGCCTCAGAGGGCAGGATGGCTTCTCAAGAGTGACTTCAGCCCCTGGGCACAGTGGGTACTTGATGCATTGCAAGAACTCAAATCAGTTTGTGGATTAAATGAATGGATGTAACTTTGGCTACTCTCTGTTTGCTCTGGGCAGAGGCCTTGGGCTTGATGGCCATCATCTTTATGGGAAATGCTGATCCTTGCCCTGTTTCTCTTCCCGGCAGGCTGCCAGCAGGGCTCCAGTGGATGCAGTCTCAGGCCACTGCCAAATGATGTCCCAGCCTGAGGCCAATGAGACATGTTGGGGGTTCTGCATGGTCAACATGGGTGAAAAACTCAAATGCCACTTTACCTTTCTATGATTCTCTGGTGGGAGCAGAGCCAGCTACGGACAGGGAGATTGCCACCATCTACCCAAGCCTTCACTGAGGAGCAGGACTGTAAGTCCTGGATTGATACAGACAGGACAACAGAAAAAACTGCCCCTCACTCCACGGATGCAAGTGTCCTTTTTGGAGACATCAGGGAAGCTGTGATGTGCTGGGGGATTAGAAAGTGGAGCCCTCTCCTTCTCAGCCCTCAACCTGTCTGTAGGAAACACGTGGGAAGTAAGAGGTCCTTGAAATTGCTTCTCATTTCTTAACAATATCCACCCTCTCCAGCTTTCTAGAAAGTCTCTCATTTTTGTCCCATACCCTTTGAGATTCCAGAAGGATGAAGAAGGTGGCTTGGAGGCAGGAGGGTAGGGCCAAAACCTGGGAGGGGAAAGAACTTCCCACTCCTTCTGAGATGCTGACTCTGACTGCAGTTTGGGGGCTGTAAGCCCCCCCAGTGGTATTCCCTTGGCTCTCAGTGTCCATCCAATGTGAATCCCACTTCTCCTAATTGTTCCAGATTCCTACAGGACCTGCTTATTTTGTTTTTGTGTGATGACTTTTTAAATATTGCATTGATATTTTAATAAAGGAGTAATAAATGTCATCAAAAAATGTTCCATCTTATTTCTGCAAAACTCTCAGAAAGGAGGCGGCTCTGGCTAGGAGAATGGCTTCTTGGCTCAGTGATCTATCACCAGGCTGGAAGGCACTAGTACCTGTTAAATCAGGACTGGGAGCTTTTGACTGGGCCTAGGGCCGTGGCTTGGTTTGATTCCGATCCATGGAGAAAAGAAGGAGGGACTCCCAGGTTTGGAAAAGTCCAGGAGTCTTCTCTAGGTAGAGCTGGAGACAGGATAGAGACCAATATTGTCCTTCTATATTCAGGGAGCAGGTCTATTTCCCTTGAAGACCTGGAATGGTCCTGGTGACAAGTAGGTCTTAAACTTGTGATCTTTCCAAGATGTGATTATTGGAGAAAGAACTCAGGAATTTTAGCTGCACTCATTGTATATTTTTATTTTGTGTTCTCCTTAATAAAAGGATAATCTGATTCAGACCAAAAATGTAGAAGAAATCAATCTTGCCACGCCCTTATTCCATACAAATTCATTCTAATGAAAGAGGAGAAGCAAGTGGGGGTATAGCTCAGTGGTAGAGCATTTGACTGCAGATCAAGAGGTCCCCGGTTCAAATCCGGGTGCCCCCTCACCTGTTTATATCTTTTGGGTTTTGTTCCCCCATTCACTTTTGAGGAATTGTGTGACGGACGAGGCAGGAGAGAACTCGAGGCAGGAGAGCAGCAGAACCCCTTGCGGGGGGTGGGGTGGGGGTACGGTTGTTACCCTGTGTTTTGCAAGCAGGTGAGGAAGTAATGGACCTTGCCCGTCGCTTAGACTCTATGTCCAAGGGCGGATTGTAGGGCGGGTGGGGCGAGTTGCTCAGGCCGACCAGGAGGTCATATGGGACAGTCCCCTCACGTGCAGTAGGGCGCCGGCGGCGCACCCCAGTGGCAAGCGACCCCGACGGCTCTCTGTCAGGAAGGTGGCTGGGCTCGATCTGGGGAAAGAAGGCCCGGAGACGCCGCGTGAAAGTGGGAGGGAGAAAGAAACGCCGAGAAGCAGTAGGGAGCTCCTGCGGGAACGGAGAGTGGGGTCCCGGCCCAGAGGAGCGCCCCCGAAATAAGGGCTCTTGAAGGCTCTTGAACATCTTCTCCTGCCTCCTGCACACCCTGTTTCTATTTTTCTTAGACTACCAGTAGGAATCTTTAGCTCAGAGCTTCAGGCAACACACCCTCTGCTTCCATGAAAGTAGTCGGGGTTTTATTCTATTTTTTTTTTTTGGACAAACGTCGGACACTACTTCTTTTTGCGACAGTACGCGACTGCGCCTGCGCAAGACTAGCACTAAGATGCCTCCCGCGCGGGCCAACCGGCAGAGGGGGTATAGCTCAGTGGTAGAGCATTTGACTGCAGATCAAGAGGTCCCCGGTTCAAATCCGGGTGCCCCCTACCTTTTCTTTTCTAGGTCCATGTTGCTTCAAAACTGCTTCGTGGCTCTTCCACACCTTTTATGTAACTATGTCCTTCGCCACCTGCCTTTGGGGCAGTGAAGGAGCGGTGGTGAACCTCAGGAAGTGGGAGCTTCTAGAGCAGTGGTTTGCTGATGTGGTCCAGGACACAGCCACCGCACCTGGGTGTTCTTAGGAAACGTAGATCCCCGGGCCTCATCTCATACCCGCTGAATTAGAAACTTGGGGCTGGAGTCCAGAACTCCGTTAAGCGCTGCAAGTGACCCTGATGTACGCTCAAGTTCTAGAATCTTAAAGGTTAAAAAAATGTGCACCTCGTTTGCTTCTAATATCTCTTAAGCTGCTGTTTCTGCCTGAGCCAAATCAGAGACCTTATAACACCGACCGCGGGCACTCGAGACCGCTCATGTACGGAGACACCAGGGCCGGACCTGGAAGTCCATCCTGGGATCTCTCACTCCAACCTCGAGGTGGGGACGAGCAGCTAGGGACCCTAGTGTCGCGATCTTAGTAGGCACAGAGCCTGAGCTGGCCGGAAAATGCACGGGAACCACAAAATACTACGTTGCTGCTCCTCGCGTGGCCACTGGAGGGCAGCAGGAAGCCGCAGCTGGAAACAGCAGCTTATTGGATTCCTCCCAGCGTCGGTCAAGTTGGGATTTAAGTTAGACATCACTGGTAGGCAGGCTTACTTCTCCCATTGTAAGCAGCCGAACTGTCTCTTGTCCTGTCCACAGCTGGATCCCTCCTTTTAGGGACTCTTCCTCCATGGAGCTACACGTCCACAGTCTTTCCTCTCTGCAATATTCCTGTTCCTAGACCCCAGCCCTGTAGCAGTCAAGGAGCCCCTCGCCCCTCGCCTACCCGGGCCCCCAGCTCCTTGCCCTCCCCGAAGTAGGTCAGAGGCACCTCCGCGTCCTGACCTGATTCGCTGCTGTCTATTAAACCTCCTAAATTGCGGGTATTTTTATTCTGTCCTGGAAGAAAAAAGAAAAACCTCTCCCCAGAGCCTGAGGTGCGGTGGGGGACACTGGCCGGCTCTGGAGCTGGCTTTCAAGATTGACTGACTCTGGCCTCAGGGGCCTCCAGAGCGGCGCGTGCCTCAGTTGCCTTCTTGGGGACAGGGGTCCAGGTTATTTCAGGGTAGGGGTGAGCCAGGCCCCTGCTCTCCAGGGGTGCTGGGCTGGAGGGCAAACCCTGGTGGAAATGGGGTGTGGAGGGGCACGATGGGAGGCCGCGCAGGGGGGAGGCCGGGTTCTTGGCCACCGGGGGAGATGCGCTGGAGTAAAACCTCGGAAACCTACAGACACCGAGGAGCAGCTCAGAAAGTCGCGCTGCCTGGAGGAGGCGGGTGGCAGGAGCCCACGGCCATGGCAAGGGCGCTTCCTGGGGTACCCTCTTGGAACTTCTCTCCTGGCTTTCCCTGGGGGAGCAAGGGAGAGGAAGGGAGGCAGGAGCCAAGTGGGGGTGCAGGACGGCCGAAGGTGCCTAGGGGATCCTCCAGTCCAGGGTCCCCGCCGGTCCCCTCTGCTTTTGCATCACAAGTAGCTTCCGATCCTTGGGGAGTCTGGGAGGCTGAAGGCCGGGGGAGGCTGCGAGGCTGCGTGGCCGAGGAGGTTGGGAGGCT